CTTTTTTTGCATCCCCTTGAAGTTAACTGTGGCCAGTAAAGGGGACAGTCGAAATGAGCTGAGTCCGCCTTAAAGCTGCAGTCCGTATCTTTTTTTGGGTTAAAAATGATCCAAAATACATATTTGAGAAAATACATAACCAGCCAGTGTTCAAAACTATCTGCTTGCCTTAGCTCGATTCAAAGCGGTAAGCTTGTAATAATGTTTTTAATTCCAGTGGTACTGGTGGATTTCCACGGGAGATTTGAGCATGTCTTTGCGTCATTACGTCACATCTGTACACATAAAGAAGGAGTCTCGGCTAGTAGGCTATATTGCGAGTGAGGATGTTGGAGGTGGAGATTTATAGCCTTTTCTCACAGCACTTGATATAATTAAACTTATCAATTTGATAGCGGATCCAGAAAGGTTCAAACGACAATCACCAGTGACAACTGGAGATTCACCCATTGTAAAATGTAAAATGCAAAAGACTTCGTTCGGACTTCGGAGTGGCTACAGAAAAAAAGAGACTGCAACCGGACCCATGCGAAAACAAGGATACATATCGGAAGGACATGCTGAAGTTGTTAACATTAACAATTTGAGAACAAAGTATAATTTGCATGGTTTTGCCTGATATAATAAGTTATAAGCGATTGTTAGATTTAATCAGTGCGATTTACTGCAATGTCAGAACCAGAACAAAACTTGATGTTTCTTACTTGTTCAGATGACATTTTCTGGTGAAAATTATTATGTTGGTCATACTTCCAAAAAGAATAATCTGTGATTCTGAATGACAGTATCCACACCGGCACGGTGACTGACAGCCTCACAGTCTCCTCAAACATTGTGTTCATCCACGCTGTGTCGTGTCGAAGTACAACTCACGTAAAGTTGATAATTCCGCGAATGACTGCAATTGCAGATTTCGAACAGACATGGCGACAAAGAGGAAAAACGCCGGACTGCAGCTTTAACTACATCTGAATCCCTTAATACTCCTCTCTCTATCTTTTATTTGTATTAAAGGCACATACAAACTCTCCCAGGGCCATGCTTTCAGAAACCTTACTGTCTCACTTTGACTCAGTCACATAACACTGATGATGGACAAGCTATAACATCATTACTCTCTTTCCTGAATTTGTGTAATCATTTCTTCTTATATCACTGAGTAATATCAATGACAAAATTGATAGTGACTCCACAAAGAAAAATCAATAAATCCATATTATCATAAATCCAGCACAGCCTGCAGTGTGAGTGTGGCCACCATGTGCGTTCAAACTACCCATCAATGAATGAGTTCAATCGATTAGAGATGTTCCACAGAATACAAATCAGTTGATCCTCAACCAAGTGCAAAAATGTGAAAAACAAATGTGCCTCTTATCAATCTATATTTCCCAGTCAGGCATGTGGGGAACTTCAATCTACACACAGCAGAATTTTATCAATGAATCTGCCTCTGCAATATGCTGGGAAGGTTATTTTAATCTTTGATGAAACAACTTCCTCAAGGGGAACATTCATTAAACATTTAAAAGTCTCTCCCTTTCTTTATCTTCTATCTCTATGAGGGGAAAAACAGACTTGCCTTCTTGACGTACTGGTGACAGGGATTTTGCTAAGGACTTGTCCTTGAATCAACATATTCCTGTCAAACAAAACACATTTATAACATTTCTTACCCACAAAATTAACCTTAAACATTAAATACTCCTACAATTAGAGGAAATAATTGCTTTAGCAGGACAAAACCCTAACCACAGCTTATCTGAAAATCTGTCTGACAGGAATATTATTTAAAAATGATATTGATAACATTATGAAATCACAGCATGTCTCATATGGAATCCGTTAAAAAATATAGTTGAAACTACACTGCCTGCAGAAACCACACATTTATTCACACAATTTATTTCATACCTTTATTTTAGAACAGCCATTTGGGTGGTACTTGTCTATGAAACAAAATTAGTTCAAATGCGAGTAGTTCCAAATCTTTCCAAAACCGTACCTGTTTGGACTTTTGATTATGAAGTCAACTCTGCCATCAAGTGGTAGCAAAATAGAAAAAAAATATATATATAACTGGTTCCACACAGTCAATATTTGTTCGAACTATCCCTCTTTTTCCACAAAATAAAGTGAAGGTGTGGATTCTGGAATCCACAGCTGCTTCAGTCTAATGAGTGATGATAATTAAGGTATTAATCAATATTTTTCCTTCTAAATATCAAATGAGTGGAATGACTTTTTTAGGCTTATGAGATTTTACTTTGTTATAGAAGTTACCAGTGTGATTACTGAAATGTTCTTTTAATGTATTTTCGAATGTCTGTATTTGATATCTGAATGCAGTAACAGTGCTTTGCTCATTTAGCCTGGCTTCCAGAAATTAAATATGGACTCGTTTTGTGTTTGAGAAATGTCTTCAACATGTGTCAATACATACAGGTGCATCTGTTTTTCTAGGGTACCCTGACGAGTGACGACTATAAGTCACAAGGATCATTGGAACCAATAGTTTGAGTGACCATTTCATAGTTACAGACTTTACTTTACTGCGTTAGATTAAAGTGTCCTCTCCTTGAGAGAAAGAACGTATCTTGATGTTTTGAGAAGACTCTCCTGTTTATCGTTAGAGCCTGACCAAATTGAAGACGCTGTGTGTCTGTGTTAGTATTCTTGTTTACAGGTTAAGGAACAACAGGCATTATTGGAGATTGTCTGAGTTGTTGTTCTGGACATGTTGGCGACTTGGCGCCCAGCAACCCAGATCTGCGACCTGGAAGGTCACGACGTGCCTAACTTCAGGGTTTGAGTGTCGAGCTGCATATTCGATTGAGATATGATTCAGTCTATCTTTTTATGTGTGGAAAATTACTGTTTATCTATTTTCTTAGCCAATCAGAATCATTCAATCTGAAGCAAGGACATAGCTTAGACCTTGGTGAAGGGTATAATTGCTGTGATCTTTGTAACTGTAACAGGGCGGCCTACAAACTTCTTGTGATTCTTGAAGCTGACTTCTGCTGATGAAACTGCAAACTATCTTCAGTAAAATTATTCTTTAATTTATTATAATTCTGACTCTTGTCTTAAATTGTCTGCACTTCTGACTCCGGGTCTTAATTAATCATATCTGGTCCTTGGGTCTTTAACTGTAAATCCCCTAACAAAAGTGATCAATATAGAAAAATGTGTAAACCCAATTATATTTCTTATTTACAGTGCTCATTCCACTTTTTATAGTCATACTTTTATTTCTAGTTTTCTTTTTAATGATACTACTATTTTTGTAATTTACATTTTGCATTTCAATTTACAGTTTTTATTAGAAAAAAATATTTCTTAGTTTATCTTTTCCCACAAATTTTGCTCAGATCCACAATGAGACACACAGAGTTGTTTCATATCTCCTTCTTCTTCAGAGGTTTTTGGTCAGACTGACAGTTTAACTCTTCTTGTTATGCATATTCATTTATCATAGAGCAAGTAATTTCAGAATTTATTGGATAAACAAATTAATGGATTATCATAAGGCCACATGTTTTTACCACATGTACATTTCAGGTACGGGACTTTTGTCCAGTTATCGGGTTCTTAATATCCTTACAGTTTTATAGTCAGATACATTTACTATCAAGTTTTTATTTTTATTTTTATACAATATCATTTATTCTTAATATCATGTATATAGAGAAAATTATTCCATTTCCATAGTCAGATTGTAGTATTTCACTTTTAATAAGTACCATTGTTGCTGTTTTTTGTTGTTGTTGTTGTTGTTGCACATCAGACTTTGATACATCATATTCGACCTCCTTTAGTTTGAAAATAAGTGTAGGATATTGACTGTAGTGTGTGAATGTTGTTATATTTTTTTTTGTAAAGTATTGTAATATATTATAATACTGTAACAGTCTTTTTTTTCAGCAGATCTTTTCTTTCAGCCAAGAATATTGAACCGCACCATCATGCTCATGCCATTTGACTTGGATATCATACCATGTAATTAAAAATGGGTTCTAATCATATAAAGTTTTTCTTATTAGGTAATCACAGCCTGTCTTACAACTTTTCATAATGGAATCAGTTAAAAATATAGATTATACTATGTTTAATTTAAAACCTGCAGAAACAACACTTCATACAGTTTATTTCATACCTTTATTTTAGACCTGCAGGTTGGGTAAGTTACTTGTCTATGAAACAATAATAGATAAAAATCTATTTCAAATCTATTCAAAACCCTGTACTGTTTGGGCTTTTGATTATGAAGTCAACTCTGCCATCAAGTGATAACGAAACAGAAAAACGTTTGCAGTCTTATATTAAATGGCATGTGATTGTTGCCTCATAGTGTAATATAAAACTGTTTAAAAAAGAAAAAAGACTGACATATGCCCATACTTAAAGAAAGACCTTGTAATGGGCATGAGATCCATTTTCTCAATTTAATTTTCACTTTATTTGGGTAAAACAGGTTCCACACAGCCTAAATGTGACCACTCACAAACCACTGCTTGAAGATGTTCTTTGCCAACATATCTACACTCAATTATGTTTCCTACTTACAGTGCTCAGTCAACTTTAGTCCTATATTTATTATACTTTTCAATTAGGCTTTATTTAAGCTATATTTTGCATATACTAGTCTACGTTTATTTGTACATAATATTAAATTCTGAGCATTACCACTTTCAAATATGAAATATGAACCCCACTTCTAAACCTTACAATAACAATGAATAAAAAAAAGATAAGAAAAAAAAAGAGTAGCTAGGCCTACTTGCTTTGCTCTTAGTTGCCTTTTAAAAGGGAAAATAAAATGACATATTGACAACACCGGTAGCCTCTAATAATAGCATGTGTAAGATAATGTAGTTTAAAATTGGCTCAAATCATACGGAGTTGGTGTTTTCCAAAGTTTTGTTCCCATCACATGGTCTCATGTTTTTGGGGGTCTCATGTGACAAATAGATCCACCCTCATGAGGGGCTTCACTCACGCAAATTGTTGCAATACAGTAGGTCCACGTACTTCCATGGGCTGGAGACGTAACATGTATAAACTGCCCACTGACCGGACCTGCTATTTAACAGGTGTAGCAGCAAGTGCAGCAAAGTCGTCTTTAGACAAATCCTGGCCTGGACTATGCGCTCAATCTGGGGTTTAATCGCCTTGGTGGCCACAGCGACTTTTTACTTGTATCTGCTGTCTGCGTTCCTGCCGCCGGGTCCTCGTGCCGTCCGCGTTCACGACGCTGAACCTGAACACACTGTCCATGACGATGAGCCGGAGGAGGAAATACGCAGGTAGAATATATCTCACTGCGTCTTATCTCTGGTTGCCTTATTTTGTGAGCAGTTCCCACTTCTACTATTGTTTGTAACTGAATGAATTCTGTTAAATTCTCTATTGTGTCTAATGGTAGGGTAATTGATTGTGTCTGTGTTTTAACTCACAACTGAATGTTAACATCTTTAATTTCACGAGTTTACATGTTAATGAAATCAGATGTAATATTATAATGCGTATTTGGCTTGCTGTCCGGGGGGAGGGCTCCGAGCTCAGAATTCGGCCCGACCCCAGAGTACTCCCCCCATAACCTTAGAGATCATAGGTAACTATGAGCGGACCCAGCCGAATGTGGGGTGAAGGGGTGGTGGTGGGATGCTGAGAAATTAGTCATGAGACAGGAGGTAAGGGAAGGCTTTATTTATACTGGCTTCTTCTTGCGCTGATTGGATGATTACCTGAACATGCTCCTCCCGAACTTTGTTTACATAAAACTTCATTTGTTTCCATAGCTTACATCTGCTGATAATAATGTCAAAATACTAAATGATTTTGGTAGTAAAAAAACCCCCACCTGAGTAGGTGTACCGTACAGCCTACAATGTACACCGAAGATGTGATGATGCTTCTAAACCTAATTATTGATGAATAAATTGCTATTTTTTGAGTCGGATCCTTTCGATTAATGGTTGAACTGGTTCACAAGTTGTGAAAGGAATCAGACTCGAAATGTGTATGACCGAGTCATGTTCATTTACGACTCTTTTGTGAACCACAAGACCAGTCTAAACGATTATTTCATGATTCGGACTCGATCGTTCACATTTCGAAAAGAGAATTTAATTTGTATTGGAAAATATTGTTTTTATTTTGGAGTGAGAAGTAACCCCTCACAATTGGGACAGAATGTTTTTAACTATTTCTTACTAAGTACTAAAACGCATGGTGTTATTTCTTAATATTAACATATTAATATTATTAACGCAATGATTAATAATATTATTAACATTTCAAACATCTTATTAATCATAACCATAGTCATGTTGAGTGGAATCATTCAATCTTACTTGCACATGACATCCCTAAAATTGTTGGCTTACCTAGAATAAGTTAACCTTGCAGATGTATCTCTTTAATTGGATTCAGCAACTTTTCAACATTTTCTGTCATTTATTTAATTATTCAAATACAATGTCAAAAAGCACATTATATGTTACATAATATTTTATGTATTTTACTAAAAACAGATAAGATAGGGTAAGGTTGTCCTGGGGGGTCTTTCCCCAGGTAGAGGGGCATACACCCCAGTAATGGAGCAATATAGCCCTTTTATAATTTTGTGCTACTAAATTGTAAAATGATTCCAGTTATTTCCACCAATAAAATATTTTTCACTAATGTAGATGATGTATGATAATGTAGCAGTATGTTCACACAGTTCTTAAGGGAAGCATCTTCCCCTGTACAGTTCAGTTTGTGATGCCCCCTTTCACCTGTGAAGTAACTCTCTCTCTCCCTCTTTCTTTTATATTAGTTCTGTCTGTCTTTTTTCATTTCACATTCTTCCTTATTTTCCTATATGTCTGTTTGACTAAGTATTGGTTTATTCATTTTAATACACCCTCATCTCAGTTCAAAGAGAAGAAGAATAAGAGATAATTAGAGTGACTGAGAGAGAGATGGACATGAAAGAGAGAAGGTTTGGCAGTTATTCTCAGGCAGTGGCAGATATTCCAGAACATGAGGTTACAGTTTGCCCTGTGCTCTTTCCTCATCAGCGTTACTTTATACTGTGTGAGCAGCCCTGGACCCGGTGTGAGAGATGCCCAGATGATAGGCACTTCATGTACTGTAGTTCACATGCAACCCAAAACAAAATTCTGTTTCTTCTCTAAAATCTCATCTGTCCTCTCATGTCCTATAGGCAGGCAACTAAAGATCCTGATCCCTGGTCAGTTCTTATTAATGCAAATGGGTCTCAGATATTTTCAGTTTTGTTTGTGTGTGCTAGGATATGCAATGATTGCACATAGGCTGTATAAAAATCGCAACAGTATAACGCGCTAATCTTGAGATTTTTTTTAATTGTATTCATTTATTTTTATTTTTATATTTAACAATTAACACAGCATCCATTTTTTCCTGGCATACTTTGGCTAGCGTATAGGCCTACAGTCAGGGCCTGATTTACAAATAAAGATTCTTTGCATGTGCATCAGCAACAACGTCTGCTCTCACATCAACTCAACACCCATGCATCGTGGTGCTCTCATGAACGTGCGTTGGAGATTAATATTTTGTAAATAAATTGGTAAATTATGTGGTTTTTTTTGCACAAACAAGGCACTCGCTTCGCTTCATAAAATTGAGATTAAACTAGTCACATGGATTACTTTAATGATGTCTTTTAATACCTATATGGGCCTTGAAAGTGGTAGTTGCGTGCTCTGTCAATGGAGGGACAGAAAGCTCTCAGATTTCATTAAAAAGATCTTTATTTGTGTTCCGAAGATGAATGAAAGTCTTATGGGTTTAGAACGACATGAGAGTGAGTAATTAATGACAGAATTAATTCTGTCTATATTCAACTCGTACTATATTAAAGGCACTGCTAAATGTAACATTTACTATAATAGGTTTATGTTGTTCGAATAAATGAAAAGTTTTTAAAAATATTTTTAAAGCCTATTAAATGTTAAAAATTATGGCTCTTGGTCATACTGTAATGGTGAATGGCTATAATTACTAATTGAGAAAATCCATTTACACCAGTACCTCTATTGGTATCGGTGATACTGGTCTTCATTCATAGTATTTAAAGAGATGCCATTGAAGTGAATATTTAAAAATATACCTTCTTTATGTGATGTTTCTACATTTCAAAGCGAAATAACAGGGTCTAATTTAGGTCTTATTTAATCTTTTTACTTCAAAATAATAACTTCAAGCATTTTTTTTAAATATACCTTTTTTCTAACAACATAAAACGACGTTTATTGTCAAAATCTTACTGACACCTAATGTATAATAAATGATCCACCCATTAAATTTCCAAACCACTTGTCCAAGGCTATCAGGGATGCTGGAGCCTATCATATTAGAAATTATTTATTATTAATAAATTATATTAATTGATTAGGCAAGGCAAGTTTATTTATATAGCACATGTCATACACTATGACAATTCAAAGTGCTTTACAGAAAGGAATTAAAATAATCACAAAATAAAAGCAAGGACAATTAAAACAGTTATAAAAGAAATCAAAAGAGATATATTATACAGTTATAAAATGAATTAAAAGAGTAAAAAGATTATACATAGATAAACTTCTCATCTGGGAAAACTGTAACTTCGGTTCCCTGAAGAGGGAACGAGGCGCTGCGTCGATTGACGCTAAGGGAACGCTTTGTGTGATGACGTCTTGAAGCACATGTAAAATCATTCCAATGGTGTGACGGAACGTCAGAGGCGGGTGACGTCATGAACCAGGAAACTATAAAGCCTGCCCAAAACAGAGCTTCGTAAAAGTCTGAAGTAGTCACTGACAGGCACGTAGGAGATATGGCAAGGTGACTCAGCATCTCGTTGCCTCTTCAGGGAACCTCCCAAGGGAACTCGCGCTGCGTCGATTGACGCTAAGGGAACATCTATACCAACGCCACCATAGCGACTAGTGTCTGTCCAATGTGAAATCGAGAGGAGCAGCACTATTTCGAGAGCACCTGGGACCCAGGTGTAGAGTCCAAGTTCAAAGAGTAGAACCTTACAAATGTGTGCGGTGAGGACCATCCTGCCGCATCACAAACATCTTGGAGAGCAACTCCTGTCATAAGGGCCTTAGAGGCCACCATACTCCTAGTAGAATGGGAACGGACAGCCATAGGTGAAGGCTGTCCAACCGATTCATAAGCAAGGGAGATAGCCTCAACCACCCACTTGCTAATTCTCTCCTTAGATGCAGGGGACCCTTTCACAGGCGTAACTATCGGTAAGCAGGGTACGCGGTTGATTACGGGCCCGGACCAATCAGGGGCCCGCGCGTGACTGGAAGATATTGATTGACAGCCGGGCCCCCAAACGCATTTTACTACTTTTAGTCTGATCGCATTTTACTTTATCGCAAATTTATTTGAATAAATAATGGCAATAACATAGTGTACTGATCATTAGATACAAGTATGAAAAGACCAATGATGGATTTTGGTGTAATTTGTTTCGAATTGGGACTGGGGAATCCCCGGGTTGGTAAGTGAACATGCGTATTGCGTGCAAAACAGTAAAAACGATGAACTTGAGACAGACAATATCGACAGGCTACTCCTGATTTTGTCAGTCATCTCATCTCTTATATGCTGTGTCTCTATGATCATATTAGGCGCTTTCCGACCTAGTAGTGACAGGAACTTAGTTATAGGAACTGTCCACTTCTAAACAGTTCTAAGAACTACTCTCCCCCAAACTCGGTTTTGCTGTTTGCGTTCGCACTGGCCAAGTGGCCATAGGAACTGGTAGGAGGGGTAAGGGAGTGACACAAGCGCGGCGGCGGCGGCGCCACATACAACAACAACAAACCAGCATGGAGGAGGCTATCGGAATGTTCCTGTTCTGCCTTGCCGGGAGCTTAATAACGAGTACGAACGGCGGCGTTTAAAGACTATGCTTGAGTTCTGTACAGAGAAACAAAGAAGACGAAGGCTCCAGCGTAATATGATCTTAAGTAATATAATGGAAGAAGATAGAAGAGCAGAGCGCAGGAGACAAACAAAACGACGGGTAAGTTTAGCAAGCATAGCAATTAGCTGGTTGAATGCGTTATGTTATGAGTTAGCATAGCATACATAGGCGAATTGCAACAGACAGTGAATAAAATGTGTTGACACTGGGCGTGACTTATAAGTTGAACTAATCAACGTAGACCTAGGGAAAGGGAACTAAAAAAGTCCTCGCTCTAGACTAGGTACTGAAAAAGGTTATAGGAACGTTAGGTTCTAGGAACTGCAAAAGTCCCTCCGGTCGGAAAGCGTCTATTGTCCTATTCATGGTAGCCTACTCGTGGACATTGCGTCATCACGTGCTGTAGGGGGGCCCGCCTTGATAATCCTGCATAAGGGCCCGGTGTTGACTCGTTACGCCACTGGACCCTTTGCTAGGGGGCCCAAAACATACAAAAAACTGTTCAGATTTACGCCACAGGGCAGCTCTGTGGACATAGGCATCTAGCGCCCTGACTGGGCATAGCAGATTATTCTTTTCCTAAAGATCCTATTTCCTAGTTGCATGACTGACTTGTTTAGCACTCGAAGATCCAAAATGGGACGCAACCCCCTATCCTTCTTTGGAACTATGAAATACCGGCTGTAGAACCCGGTACATGTTCTATGGCCCCTTTCTCTAACAGGGTTTCCACTTCTTGTTCCATTACCAGAACCCGCTCAGGGCCCACCACGGTGGAAAGGACCCCCATAAACCTGGGCGGGGGCGAGACCCGAACTGTATTTGATACCCTTTTTCTATGGTCTGCAGGACCCAACGAGAAACATTTGGCAGTAGTTAGGGGGACTGCCCTCATTGGCCTGAGCCCTCGGGCGTCAGGACCTCTTCCCCGCAGCCTTCTTAGAGATAATGACGGTCCTCAGATCCATCTTACCCTTCGAAGACTGCGGGTGAGAGCGCCCTCCCTGTCCCCAGCCTTTCTGTGGGGGAGCACGGGAGGCAACGCTCTGCTTCTGGGTGGCACGGTGTGAAGAGCTGGCTTTTGAAGTTTGGGGCTGCTCCCGCTCAGCAGCCCCAGAGACATGAGATTGACGGGGGAGGAACTTCTGGAAAGCGACCACCTGCTTGGCTGCCGCCTAGAACCTCTTGACGACATCCATAAGAAAATTCTTGTCCTTTTCTTTTATATTACTCAGATTGAGCCACAGATGCCTCTCAGTGGCCACCAGGGCTGCCATAGAGTGGCCGACAGATTTAGCCGTCTCCTTGGTGGCCCTGAGAGATAAATCTGTGGCTCAACGTAGTTCGCAAACTACATCAGGGCCAATTCCCCCGCCCTCCTCCATGTCTCCTAACAATTCAGCTTGGTAGGCCTGCAGCAGCGACATTGTGTGAAGGCATGCTGCAGCCTGACCAGCGGCTGAATAAGCTTTACCCACCAGTGATGATGTGGTTCTGACTGGGTTAGTGGGTAATGTCGGGCCTTTAGGGAAGATGCTGCTTCGGGGAAGAGATAGCTCGCAAACGTCTATTCCACTTTTGGCATCTCCCCATAACTGTGCTCTTTATAGTTAGATATAAAGGAATAATTGGATGTTTGTGCACTATACACTATATGAAACCGGTTTCTCCCACGATCTCGACACCTCGGTGTGTAGATCAGGGAAAAGTGGTTCTACTGACGTTCCCTGACGTTGAGGTTGTGACCGTGATGGTAGGAAGCGTTCGTCTATCTGTTTATCTGCTGGCCAGTCAATACTCAGTCTTTCAACCGCTCTTGTCACAACCTCAACCAGCTCTTCAAATGCATGAGACTGAGGTGGCGAATCCTCAGAATTTCTTGCATCGACACTGACAACGTCCAGTTCCTCAGAACTAGATAGTTGCAGTGTCTGTGCCTCAATCGGGGCGGAAGGAACCCCAGTGCGTGCTTCCAAACCCTGAGCGAAGGCACTGGATCTATCAGGTGAAGGCAGAGATAAGGCTGGGCCCGTCTAACCCCGCTGATAGATCCATTTGCGAACCCCATGTCTCTGATCGCCCCTGTGCCTCGGCAGCAGCGGGACCAGAGCCCTGGGCAACGTTAGCCTGAGCGTCCTCGCTAAAGAACGCCAACTCCCAATTTTACTCTGAGATTTTCCCATGGTGATTACACGGTCTGTGGTGTTCTTTTGGCGTGCCTAAGAAAACTATTGGATGTCTCCGATAGAAAAATAATAAAATAAAATAATAATAATAAAAATTTAATAAACAACAAAAAAATAAACGAAAAATAAACTTTGTATTAAACTATTATCTAAAATGATCTATTACCTTGTCTGCTTTGAATGAAACTCAACATGAGCAGTCTTATCTCAGGATTGAGGCCTGGCAGAGGGCATGATGTGACAGTTATAAGATCAGACAACTGCCTTCTGGAGTGTCTTGAAATCCCCTGAATTTGCTGAGATGTGCAATGCCGATAAGGAGGGAAAGAAAGAGATATCTGGAGGGTTCATATGTGACATATATGTTTGGTATGACTAGCTAAAATAAAGTGCATTATAAATAAAAGGAGAGAAGAGAGGTCTCAAAAGCCCCATACTTTAATGTCATTTTCTGAAGTCATTCAGATATTTAGAATGACAAAAACAGCGGGAAAGGACATCTGAGTTTGATATTGAGTAATGCATCTGCTGTATGTCCACCATCATCACATAGTGACCTTTGCATAGTGTCTTGTGACCCACTGCACGTCTTGGTTCATTTCTTGATTAGCTCACTCTTCTGTACCCTGGGAGAATCTCCGCTGATGAGATTGAGATGAAGTTTGTAACATGTTGTTCAGCAGTGATGGCAGAGACAGCTGAGCCCGTGAAAGCCCCAGTGGTGTAAATAGCTGTTTGAGTCTTTGGGTGGGGAATTTCCATGGTTATCAGAGAAGGGATATTTTGTGCATCATTAAAGCTATAAAAATAAGCTGTTTTTAAGACTGTATTTTAATTTGCTGAACAGATCTTTTTTTGTGTTTTTGTCTCGTTTTCCTAGTACAATTATGTAAACATTTCTTAATCAAATCAACATACTTGAGAAACAATATCACTTAAGCTCTATAAACTCTATAAAATATAAACTCTCTATCTCTCTCAATCTCTTTCAGTCTCTATTTTTGCAGTGTTATTGAAGGTGTTTTGTTTATTGTCTGGTCTGTCTCCTACATTGAAGGCTCTCATATTGTTGTTCTGATGAGTCTGCGCTCAGTATGGAGCATATCACATGTTTATATTCGTCACTACTGGGTACGCATGTGAAATTAAAACCCCTGCTTTGGCACATGGGTGGGGAATACTACCTCATTGCGTGCCCAAATTACCCCCTGGACGGCAGTAGGGAGCTTAGATTACTCACGACTGCACAAGATGTGATTCATCCGCTGGCAAGAGCCCAGTGACCACCTCACGAGAACTTCAGTCTGTGGGACATCCACATTTATTGATGATCATGTTGGGTGTGTTTGAAGACTTTTAAAACATGTTGTCCTCAAGTACAGCCAACCCTGTACACACACACAAGCACATTTCCACAGCTGAGAGGCTATTTCCAGTTGGTGTATCATATTTCAGTCTTTCTGTCTTATCTTGCTGACAGGCTAGTCTCAGGAGTCTTCAACCTTTTTCAGGCCAAGAACCCTCAAGCCTGTTATTCTACTATACAGTTTTTTTTTTTAAAGAAGTTCGATAATGTATTTATATACTGTAATTTATTATGATGCTTACAAAGCATTAAAATAATCATATTGGTATAATTATATATCCTAATCATATATTTTTAAGTTGTACATAATACATTTTTATGTGTGAGGAACAATGAAACATTAAACTAAACTTTAGCTTTTTGAAAGGTAGAAATGGATCATTTACTTGTACTCATGTTGTCCCCAACCAGTAGGCCTACGTCTTTATTTCTTCTATGTAACCTAAAAGAAGACGTCTAATATTTTTGTTACATTTTCCCCTCTAATGTTCCCACTCAAAAATCAGACACTTGTAAAAAGTCTCACCAGAGGGTGACAGTGAGGTTTTCAGATCATTACTGAGGTTGTGTAGACCTAATTCACAGCAGCGCCATCAGGAATGAAAGTGAGGCTGTGAGCCGGGATAGACATACATCTCTTAAGTGTGTTGTACTGTTATGTAATGTGTTTTTGGATTGCTCTGCTGATGAAATATCATCCAAGAGATTTCAGTAGACAAAAAACTAAGTGATTATTAAAATTATAAGTGATTTATACAGCTTTTTACAGCGGATCCCATTGAAAACACGATAACTCGCTTTCATACCTGTCATGGCATTGCTCTGAATAAGGTCAATTACAGAGCCCGTAAAGGGACATGGTGAAGGAAAAAAATAGGAGATGGGAGGAAAAATTATTTGCAAATGTTTTTGCGTTCTCTCGCGAATGTGTTGAGTTCACCCGAGAAACTTTGCGCACAAAAACGTTTGTGCTCTCGCAATTTTTCTCGGGGGAACAAAAACATTGCGTTGAGAATGCAAAGGCATTGACAAAATTTCATATCACCATATCCTTTTAGGGGCTCCGTAGCCTACCTAATAGCCTACCTAAAGCCCACAGTATCACCCGAATCCATTGATTATAATCCTTTTCATCCTATTGTATATCAGTCTCCTTAGTGCTGGTTTCTATAAGGGTTGATAGGAAAAGGAAGGTCATGGCCCCTATCCAATCTGTTAGAAATGAAAAGAGGAAAAAAAGGTGTTAAGTACTAGTTGAGTGCCATTGTTTTACTGATCCCACAGTGTCTCCAGGTTGAAGTTCCCATCTGATCTGGAGGAGTTGAGGGAACTAGCCGAGCTGCTGCAGTTCTATAAGACAGAACACACTGGCTATGTGTTCATTCTCTTCTGCAGTGCCTACCTCTACAAGCAGTCCTTTGCCATTCCAGGATCATCTTTTTTGGTTGGTAACTCTGTGACACTATTAGTAGACTTACTTGAACCACCTCATTAGACTGAACTAAAAGATTTATTACCTATTATTATTATTATTATTGTTAAAAAACATACATACAATCTTTCTTGTCATGTCTAGAACATGCTGGCGGGGGCATTATTCGGGCCATGGCATGGAATCCTTATTGCCTGCACTTTGACAACTGTGGGTTCCACAAACTGCTACCTGCTGTCCCGTACATTTGGCAAACGCCACATCATCAGGATCTTCCCCGAGAAGGTGGCAATGCTGCAGCGAATGGTGGGTCATCTCTGGCTGTTTAGCACATGATAGAGGGATTTTCCTTTAATTAATGTTCTAAAAATAGTCAGCGAGTGTATTTGTGACTTTGCATTTTGTTTGTTTATACTTTGCATGTGATATAGCTCAAACAGTAGCAAACAGTGTTAGCAAATAGCAATGCTAAGGTGGTTTAGCCACTTCCCACTTCTCAGGGAATGCACGAACTGAAACATTTTATTCCTTACAAAACAAATTATGCTGTTAGCAAACTTCTAAACTAAAAATATGAGCATATACTTTCAGTCTTATCAGAGGTATACTTGATATAGTAAACTTGGCTTATACTGATAAGTATACAGAAAAGGCGAAGTATATTTGGCCTAATCTTGTTCTTAATCTTTTGATCGAGATATATTTAAGAAAAGTTTAAAGAACTATTCTAAGTATACTTGGGATAGTTGTGTTTGCCGAACACGATCGATTTGCCGAATCATGTGACAAATTTTGACTCATTATTAGTCTGTAAAAGACTGGTACAATGTCACAGGCCCTTGACTCTCATACATTCACAATCAATGAGACCCCCTTGAAGAAGTTGAGAAGTTCACCTATTTGGGTTCTACAATGACTCAAAATGCAATGCTTGATCTCAAATTGGGTTCCAGACTTGGTAAAGCAGCTTCTACCTTCAGAAGACTCACTAAACGAGTTTGGCGGAATAAGCACCTGCCTGTCCGAACTAAAGCCAGAGTCTATGAAGCCTGTGTCGTGAGCATTCTCCTCTACGGAGCAGAAAGCTGGCCAACCTATCGCCCACAAGAAAGTAGACTCAGTGCTTTTCACACCAGAAACCTACGGTTCATCATAGGAAAGACAAGATGACAAACGAGGGTCTCTTTAAGAGGTCTTTAATTCAGGACCTCTATCATCAAGGCTCAAATTCATTCGTCTCAGATGGGCAGGACATGTAAACAGAATGCCACCATCCCGCATCCCTCACTCTATCCTCCATGGCGTTCTGGAAGAGGGAACTCGTCTCACTGGTGGTTAAAGATGTACTCAAACTAGATCTTGTAGACTTTGGCATACATCCTGAATCCTGGACCGTAGCATCATGGAATCGGGATCAGTGGAGGGCTCAACTTAACAAAGGAAGACAACTAGACCACGCCAACAACCTTCTAAAGTTTAGGGAAAGACGGTTGAAGTTAATCAACATGGACAAATGTGAACTACCCAAGCATTGTCATTGAGAAGAGAGAGTTGTGTGTACTCTTTTATAGCTTATTAAATACTTGTTTAGACATATATGCTTCTATTGGGTTGTATAGTAACACGTTTATGGTAACAAGCCACCTTTGAAATAGCTTAGAGTAAATAGTACATAATTGGAACTGAATCTGAACTTTTTTGTACACGTGTGCTATTAACCCTCACTGAAACAGATAAACATTTTACTGATTTTATTGATGTTATATGATGTTCAGTTCACTTGAAAACTTGCAGGTATACCTCTTGTATAAAAACTATTAATCTAATAGTTTCCTGAGAGAGTATTCTTCAAAGTGTACTTTTATAAACTACAATGTGGGCAACCTAGCAAACTAACAGCATCACAGTGTAGCATAGTTAACAGTATGGTTACAATAAAAAAGAAAGCTTTTGTAAACTAGGTGTATACTTAAATTTGACTTGACTTTGATCTGTTATACTTAAAGTACGCTTAAAAGTATACATTTATAAACTAAAAACTAAGCCAGTTTACTCAAGAAATATTGAAATAGTACACTAAGTATACTACTAGTAGCCTACATTGATTTTAGTATACTCGGTACATAGAGCATACTTAGAAAATATACTTGAACTTATGTTACTTAATAAAATCGTGAAGTATAAATTTTTTGTAAGAGATACATTGAATGCAATGTATGTATGTCACTGGATAAAAATATCTATCAAATGTCTCAATACAATATAGTTTAAGAAGTTTTATATTGATAAGATTAAGATTAAAGATATAAGATTTTGGACTTTGGAGGTTTTTTCGTGTATCTTTCCTACTAAATTATCATAGTCATGTCTTCATCAGCTCTCTATAGAAATTTGAAGTTGAAACAATACATGAGCACATGTTGAATCTCTATTTCTTTCTATTAGGTGGAAGAGAACAGGAGCAGTTTGTTCTTCTTCTTGCTCTTTCTGCGGTTCTTTCCCATGACACCTAACTGGTTCTTGAACATCACCTCTCCAATCCTCAACATCCCCATCCCCATATTCTTCTTCTCCATCCTCATTGGTGAGCTTACATTGTATCTACTGTTATAAATAATGTATAATTCTTCAGACACCGATTATGAAGTAAAAGTACATCCTTTGATCTTGATCTCATAATCTTTAAATGCTTAATTTCCTCCCAGGTCTAATCCCTTATAACTTCATCTGTGTCCGTACGGGAGCCATCTTGTCTGAGATCCAGTCTTTGGATGACATCTTTTCGTGGGGCACCTTGCTGCAGCTCCTGCTGATCGCGTGTGTGGCTCTTCTTCCTGGAGCTCTAATCCGCCGCTACAGTCAGGCCCATTTCAAACTTGACGGCCTGGAACCCAACGGACACCAAAATGCCTTGAATGATCGCAAGACTAAATGACCCAAAAGAAAGACACCGTAGGAGACACAATCATTGGTGTGGAGTTACACCTGTGGATTGGGTTATGAAGTTCCCAATGGAAAGTAGAACTGAAATGGACAGATTATGAGATGGGTTATTAGATTTGTAATGGAAATAAAAGTGCCAAAGAAGAGACTATTAATGTCTTAAAAGAGTACACACTCAGATTGCTGATTTGCTACATACAGACCACTGGACATTGCCTCATTTTATAGAAATTTGACAGCTTTAAGTTTTTTTTATAAGATTTAGTTATATTGTCAGGTGTTGTTTAGCGTCTATGTTTGTGGGTGGCTTTATTTATTTCTGGAGTCTAAATATCTGTAAGTGTCATGTGTTTTTGAGTATGTTTACACATTTAACAAAAGAAAACTAAAGATTAGTTACTTTCCCCTCCTAAATTTATTTATATGTGAATGTTATGCTTGAGAAAGAAAAACACACAACCCACAAATATGACCCATACTGGGTTCATAACATGCACATGCACACACACACACACACACACACACACACACACACACACACACACACACACAATATCTATTTTTTTAAGTATTAGACATAAAAGTTATGTTCCAGGTTTACTCGTACTGTATATAACTCGAGTCCTTTTTTAGGTTAAGGCTAAAAGGGTGTGTTTTAAGGCTATTAAAAAGCCTTATTTTTTATTTTATTTTTATTTAATTTTACAATATTTACTATACATTAACCTCAAGCACCCTACAAGCAGGATGCACTTTTATTTACAACTTAGTGTCATGCCTTAACAAATATTGACTTGTGCACTGATCTTTACCTGATGGGCTAAATCTACTGGAGTTGCACAGTACATTCAGGGATTGTACACACTGCTTACTGTTTTATTGGCTATATCATTTCGTTATACATCTATCTGTGCATGCATAATATAGCTAAAAAAACGCACACTACAAATCTTTCATTATCAGCATGTCACCGAACCTTTAAGTTCGATTGTTGTTTCTGTGGAGGATATGATATTATTATTTGATAAAAAAAAAGAAGAAAGCATTTCCATTGCAATATACAATTTCACAAAGGTCTACTACAGGTGCTACTTGTTTAATCACTGCATTACAGAACCTTTTGTAGTGTTTTCGGTCCTTTTTTGAGTCAACTTTAGCTGGAAAAATAAATAAATGTCTTAATGTGTACTGGAGTTGTGAAGGTTTTATTTTTTATAATAAAAGCTGTTGCTAGCTTAAAAGGTACAACTTCTGTTATAACTGCTTGAAGAATTTCTTCAAAAGCAGAATTCAATAAAAATCATTCATATGAAACATCTTAATATTTCATTGTAACCTGGTCCAGGTCCAGACTTTTTTAATTTTCAAAATATTTCTACAGAATTCTACACATGCATATTCCATGTGGGCCTACCTATTTGTAAAAAAAAAAAAAAAAAAACATTCTTGTTGATAACTGATATAACTGCAGGACAAGAATACTTTGATATGCTATAATGTTGCATAAACATCTCGGTTTTGCTTTAACAATCAGAATCTTTGAGCTATCAATGACACAAAAAAATCTTGATATAAAGATGAAGAAACATTTTTTTAAAGACTCTTTATTGCTCAAATCCATGAGGAGGGTAGTGTGACCCTTCCAGGAAACATAAAAGTGTATTGATGAGTGTTCACTCACATAGTCTTATTGTCCCCAACTCACCCAAGCTTGGCCAGAGCCCAAAGTATACCAATGGAATATGCCCCCCTTTTGCCCCGATCTGAAATTAGTTTTATTATTTGCATCATTTCCATTACATGATGTCATTATAAGAGTTAATCTCAGATCAGCATTAAAAGCATAGCCTTATCCAACACCTAAAAGTATTTACGGTACAAGTGGTCTATAAAGACATTTTGAACATGGTAGAGCATGAAAAGAAAGACAGCTGCAGAAGTTATACGGCAAAGATTATGTTTCATGTACACGTTTTCTTTGTAAATGATATGAGAAGAGATGGTTTTGAGACAGCTGAACATCCCTCCAGTTTGACACAGCAAAATTTTACTACAGAAACCCAAATTGAGAGGATCAAATTCAATCGTGTCTAATATTATTATTATTATATTATTATTACACTAACATTCAGCAGTAAACTGTAGATTATCCCTATACTAAACCTCACACAAATATGGTGTTAGAATCAAATTCAAAACTGACGTGTTAAGATATGACATCCACTGTCCAAAAACACACATAATAAAACGACAGAGCCATTTGCAACAGAGTAACATAAAGATACCGTCTTGCTTCTAAATGTGCCTATTCTGGTTGAAGAACACTACGATTAAGCTGTATTCTTAGACACTACATACATGTATCGTTCAAGACGATTATTTCAGTACAAACATAAACTGCAAGAAACGAAGTACTGTCAACCTAAATGTTCAGTTGCCCAAGAGTTGTATTAACCTCAATAGTTCATTTGAGCCAAACGGTCCATAAAGCAACGATCAGTTTCTGATGCAGAGGTCTGAAACCTCTTTCACAAGAACAAGCAGGTAATGTTGGTGCCTTGCGCTAATTCTTTTTTTCTTCGTGTTCTTTTATTTAGAAAAATAAAAAAATGCTCCAAGTGTGAGAGCTTTATAAGGTATACAAAATATGCAAAAGGGAGAAAAGACTGAGGTACCCTGTTCTTGAGGTAGAACGTTATATTGTACAGGTTCACACAAAGCTGTGTGGACTTTCAATATATCATTTTCATGTCTCAATCATGGTTTTATCAGTTGCTTAATATCAACGTTACGGTCTATGATTGCTTAGACGGTACAGTACTGGAATACTGGCTATTTGCATTTGATTAAGAGATACTAAAACCAATATTTGTTTTACTTTATTCCATTAGCCGTTTCTAATGTGCAACATTAAAAGACTTGATGTAATTTTTATCCTTCACCAGTCAAATCACCTTTATAAATTACAAAAAATGGGGAAATGTCTTTCCAAATAATAAAAAAGAACAACACATCACTTTTGCCTCGTCTTTTGTCAAAAACGCATGAACATTCACAGACATTTCTGTCTTCTTTGTCTGTCCACACAATGCCTAATGCAAACACACACTTGCAGAAGATACTGTGCATCTCAGCACAAGAAATCAGAGGGGGAATAGAGAATCATGTTGGCTACACAGAAAGTACATGTTTGCAGAAGGCATTCACATCATATACATTCATGAGTGTCAGGAAGACCTAAAAGGGCTCCCATAGGCTCCTGTCACAGGACCTACAGACACAGTGCAGATTGCACATGAAATTCTGCTTTTTCTGTTTAAAGGTTTGGGGTCAGTAAAGTTTTTAAAACAAATTTTTTGAAAGAAGTCGCTTATGCTCACCAAGGCTGCATTTATTTGGTCAAAAATATAGTAAAACAGTCATATTATGGAATATTGTATTTTTTTTCTATTTAAATGTAATTAATTAATGTGAGGGCTGTGACATTTCAGCCACCATCACTCCAGTCTTCTCTTCAGTGTCACAAGAACCTTCAGAAATAATTATAATATGCTGATTAGGTACTTTAGTCAAGTCAAGTCAAGTCATCTTCATTTATATAGCGCTTTTAACAATGAATTGTTTCAAAGCAGCTTTACAGAGATAAACATATAATTTAAGGTAACAGATTGTTTTGGCGTTATAGCGGTTCTTGAATAATGTTACTTCCAGCTAAAGTTAACTTTGATTGATTCACCTCCGTCGAAATGATCAGACTTTAAACGCGAACCTGTGATTAACGCTGACGGCGTCCACATGCTCATTCAGAATTCTATAGTTATGTGCTTTTTAAAATATGTGCGCAGGTTTGTAATTCATACAACCCAGCCTAAACAAACTACTTTTCTTGCCTATAAATTTTGATACAGAATTTTGTTTTATTTTATCACTTCGGGGTACGCGAGCCGGAATTCACAGCGCTTTATCTGTAGAGTGGGAAAGGGATCCTCCATAGGGAGAGGATAGTGGATACTTCAGCACTGCATTGTCATCGGGTCCAGGCGAATCTCCTTCGTCAGATCTGGACACGGCCTGGATCCGGCAGGCTGCGGGAAAACCTCGGGATAAACAAAGACACTAATATTAGCGTAGATGCCATTCTTCTTATGATGTAGCGAGTACATCAAGATTTAAGGGAAGTGTTCCCAGTTCCGGCTGACCTAATCTATGCAGCCTAACATTGAATTTATAGAAGTCTATAATGTATTATGTGTATGCTAGGTCAAAGAGATGTGTTTTTAGTCTAGCTTTGAACTGACAGAGTGTGTCTGCTTCCCGGACAATGGTAGGAAGACTGTTCCAAAGTTTTGGTGCTAAATAGGAAAAGGATCTACCGCCAGCAGTCGATTTAGATATTCTAGGTATTATCAACTGGCCGGAATTTTGAGATCGCAATAGACGTGAAGGACTATAATGCGTTAAGAGCTCGCTCAAGTACTGCGGAGCTAAACCATTTAGTGCTTTGTAGGTAATCAACAATATTTAAAAATTTATACGATGTTTAATAGGGAGCCAATGCAGTGTTGACAGAACCGGGCTAATATGGTCATATTTCCTGGTTCTGGTAAGAACTCGAGCTGCGGCGTTTTGAACTAGCTGTAGTTTGTTTATTAAGCGTGCAGGGCAACCACCCAGTAGAGCATTACAATAATCTAGCCTTGAGGTCATGAACGCATGGACTAATTGTTCCGCATTTCCCAATGAGAGCATATGGCGTAATTTAGATATATTTTTAAGATGGAAAAATGCAGTTTTACAGAAACTAGACACGTGGCTTTCAAAAGAAAGGTTGGTATCAAATAGCACACCCAGGTTCCTAACCGACGACGAAGACTTGACAGAGCAGCCATTAAGTGTTAGACAGTATTCTGGGTTATTACGTGTGGAAGTTTTTTGTCCAATAATTAGAATCTCTGTCTTTTCAGAATTTAGTAGTAGGAAATTACTAGTCATCCAATTTTTTATATCAGCTATGCATTCCGTTAATTTTGTGAATTGGTAAGTTTCGTTGGGTTTTGAAGAAATATACAGCTGAGTATCATCGGCATAACAGTGAAAGCTAACTCCATGTTTCCTAATGATATCTCCTAATGGTAGCATGTACAGAGTGAACAGCAGTGGTCCTAGTACTGAGCCTTGTGGTACGCCATACTGAACTTGTGATCGATAAGACATCTCTTCATTTACTGCTACAAACTGATAACGGTCAGTTAAGTATGATTTAAACCATGCTAATGCAATTCCACTAATGCCAACATAGTTCTCTAGTCTATTTAAAAGAATGTTGTGGTCAATGGTGTCAAATGCAGCACTAAGATCGAGTAACACTAATAGAGAGATACAACCACGATCTGATGATAAGAGCAAATCATTTGTGACTCTAATGAGAGCGGTCTCAGTGCTATGGTACGGTCTAAATCCGGACTGAAAATCCTCGCAGATATCATTTCTTTCTAGAAAGGAACATAGTTGTGAAGATACTGCTTTTTCTAATATCTTTGACAGAAAAGGCAGATTCGAGATCGGCCTGTAATTGACTAATTCTGTAGGATCAAGTTGTGGTTTTTTAACAAGCGGTTTTATCATAGCCAGTTTAAAGGTTTTTGGTACGTATCCTAGAGACAAAGATGAATTAATGATATTAAGAAGAGGATATATGACCTCTGGAAACATCTCTTTCAGTAGCTTAGTCGGTATAGGATCTAACATACAAGTTGTCGATTTAGATGAATTAACGAGTTTGCAGAATTCTTCCTCTCCTATAGCAACAAATAAATCAAATTTTTCCTCAGGGAGACTACAATGCACTTCCTGATGCGATACTGTGGTAGACGGTTGCATAGTTATAATTTTGTCCCTGATATTATCAATCTTATAAGTGAAGAAGTTCATAAAGTCATCACTGCCGTGTTGCTTTGACACTTCTGAGCTTGAAGCTTTCTTTTTCGTTAGTTTAGCCACTGTTTCAAATAAATACCTAGGATTATGTTTATTTTCTTCTAATAGGTTTGAAAAATAAGCAGATCTAGCAGCTTTTAAAGCCTCTCTGTAACTCTCTTTAACATTTATTATTATTATTATCAATGTTGAAAGCAGTTGTGCTGCTTATTTTTGTGGAAATACAAATAAGTCCATTTTTTATGCACAGAAAAGTTGAAAAGAACAGTGTTTATTTGAAATATAAATGTCAAATAAACATTATAAATGTATTCACAGTCACTTTTTAAAGCATTTTTGCTGAATAAAAGGTTTAATTTCCTTTAAAAAAAATCAATAACACTTTACAATAAGGTTCAATAGTTAACATTATATAACTACCTTAGTTAACATGAACTAAGAATGAACAATACTTCTACAGCATTTATTAATCTTATTTAATATTAATGTCAACGTTTACTAATACATTATTAAAATCAAAGGTTGTGCTTGTTAACATTAGTTAATGCACTGTGAACTACCATGAACACACAATGAACAGCTGGATTTTTATTAAGTAACGTTAACAAAGATGAACTAAAACTGTAACAAATGTATTGCTCATTGTAAGTTCATGTTAGTTAATACATCAACTAATGTTAACTAATGAACCTTATTGTAAAGTGTTACCAAAAAATCTTACTGACCCCAAACTTTTGAACGCTAGCATATGTTAATAGTAAGGGTATGTGTAATATCTTAAGTGGGGAGTACAGGATGTCAACATTAAATTCCCAAAGCAAGATAATCTAGATTTTCTTCTGTTTTGGGACTGTAGTTATTTTATGCACAGTTGGCACACAGACAGATCTCATACTGTGTGAGGAATAAGATGGCAATAGGGAAACATTTAAGAAAAAGAAACAGAATAAAAAAAAGAGAAAAGAGAACAGGGCAGCAAGCAGAGGAGAACGCTCAGACTCAGCAGTATAAAATTGAGGAACTGGAAGTGAAATGCTGGCGCACAAGTTAGCTCTCTCCTTAAATCATGTACGTTCCTTTGTAACATCACTTAATGGTTTTAGTTACCGTGCTGTACTAATTAGTTACTAGAAAAAGTCGAGAAACAAATCTGATTACTCGCATTAAATAGCCTGAAATTAATTTCCAAAAGAAAATTCTGTCGAATAAACCTATATAATGTTTTTTAGAATCTTATTAACATACTGCTGTGCAATTTTCCTATATCTTTTAATAAATTAGTAGACCTAATGGAACAACTAGACCTGCAAGTCTCTAAGAAATCTACCTGCAGTGTGCCTTCACCTCATCTAGCACTCTCCATCACAGTACACAAATCCTCCCTGGACAGCAATATAGTGCCGGCCCAGATCCGGGCCACTTCTGGTACATGTGGATTCCACCCGTTCCAGATATGGCCCGATCTGGGCCGACACTATGTAGCTGTCTGGGTCTATTTAGTCTCACATCAGCTTAATCAGTAATAAAAAGAGCTCAATGAATGATCAGGTCCATCTCATAAAAAAGATCTCTCTGACCTGATAACACTCTCGATCACCTTTCAGGTTCATTCATATCCACACGACCAAATGTTTTTGTGCTTTGAGTTCTTTGGGTTTTTTTTTTTTACTGCTGGTCCTCTTCATCAGCTTCCGTCTCTCTCTGTTTCTCGCTCGGTCTCACTCTCCCTTTGTCTATCTCTTTAATTCGTTCTTTCTTTTGTTGATTTCGATTTGTCCTCGCATGAGCTACATTCATTATCTGCTGCTTGCTGGCATCTGCTGATCATTTTGATGGTTGTGAGGATGTTGGCACCATTTGCTGGTGTTTCCGCTCTTGCTGTTTGACCTGTTGTACGATCTCTCTGATCTTGCGCTGGGCCGTCTGCAAACAAACACACCGTAGCCAAAGGTGACTGGAGTGCACATGTAAATACATCATTTACATAAGCTACTATTTTAAGAACCTGAATGAAAAAGTTATGCAAAATATAAATAAAGCAGCACACATGTCTCTGCCTACTAGCAATCTATCAAATAAATAGTCTAAAAGAGGAAAGTCAAAAGTACCAGTAGTTTGGTAACAAGTTGATATCGAGATTGGAAAAAAGGTGGTGATGAATTAAGGAATCTCAGGAATAATAATTGTCACATTGACGATGCTTTGTAATTATCAGCCAATAGTTGTACTCGGTTGCTAGATTAAGCACTACAACCGATACTTGTTGTAAAAAAGTTAATTTCCACCACACTTTATAGACTTAATCTTACATTGATCATTGCACATACATAAAGCACATCAAATATGATAAAAGGAGGCTCAACTGTGCTTGCTTGATGCATGAGAACAAGCCTTATTGTGGAAGCTTAAATGTGCTTGTGTGACACGTCAAATCATATTGGTTCTTGTGCATCAAGCAAACATGTTTGAACTTCAGTTTACCATATTTGATGTGATCTGTGTATGTACGTTGATCAAGGTTTATATGTGAATAAAAGCCAAAACTAAGACAATTGTGTCTCTTTTAAAAGACTTAAAGACTTACCAAACAGATTGATTATAGATTACTTGTGATGTCTTTATGGGTTGTGTGGACTTTTAATGGATGGACAAAAATGATGATGGAATAGGAAAAACAATAAACTTGACTTGGTTTGACACTGGTGTTTTAGACTCAAATAAAAGTGTAACCAGTTTAAGGCCTGGAGTAATGTCAAAAAACATACCTGACTGGCAAAGAAATGTCCAATAATCTTAACAAACACTTCATCGTTCTCATCTGGTGCCTGGTCCCGTGGTACAATGACCTCAGCACTGGTTTGATTCTGTAGCTCATTGACCTGTGGGTGGTAAGAGGTCAGAGGTTAGACAAACAGACCCCATTTAGACCTGATATTAACATTGAAATCACAAGAGTTTCATAGGTTTAAACTAAGGATGGGCAATGATGTTATCGAAGAGCGACTACTGAGGTTTACTTCAATGAGCATATGTGACATTGTTAAATCTGTTTGTGCCAAGATTGTGAAATACATTTTTACTTTGATCAACCTGCAGTCACATATTCAGAGATGCACGTTGTCCCTCGAAATCCGATCACAAGTGGTGACAGATGTATGTTACTACCAGGTGTAAATAGCAATCTGTCTCACTTGACTTGTGATTGGATCACCCAAAACAGATGTTAAAACCATGCTTAAACAAACGTGTTCACAAATCATACATACCGTTTTTCCACCTTTCCCGATGACTCGTCCGGCGGCGGATGAAGGTACTTTTATATGTGCCTCCAACTTCACCTCTTCCTTAGCTGTGAAAAAATTCTCCTCTTTCAACTTCCCATATATCCTCCCCTGTGCCTACAGCCACACATACACAGATGAGTAAAGGAGAAATGAGGGATGGATATAGAGATCGATGTAAAACACCCTGATGAAATCTGTATCCTGAAAAACAGGAGCATAAACGACGTTTGTCATTATGGCTTTTACCTTGAACTGAGCCTCTGGTGGTCCAGTGATGATGACCATCCTCTCCGGCTCATCAGGACTGTCTGGTGCAGCAATCTGCAGTGACACAAAACAGCACTTTCTTTTTTCCACTGTCTTGATTTAGGCATTTGAGTATAAAGGACAACTTAAACCACTACAAGTGTCAGTGATACCTTGATGAGATACAAATAAACTACATGTTTAAGAGTGAGGTAAGGTGATTACCAGAAGCCCATTAAGACAACCTATATAGCTAGTCTCTGAAGTAATGTATATTCAGCCATTGAATAATGTGTTGTATAATTGCTTTGCGTTCTTGTTGTACAACTGATTATCTAGTGCAAATTTACACGTGTCCCCTCTGTATGATACAAGTATTAATTATTTCCCTGCCGTAAATTTCATTATTCTTTTTCTGTTCCTATTTGGTAGCCTTTTTCCAGTAGCTGAAGTGGCACCAAATACCAAATATTATGGTCTAAAGCAAAAGTTTTAAAATTGGTCAGTTCAAGTACTTTGTTGCCACCAATATTCCCTCAATTTTTACCCGCACATTCAGTTCTAATCCAATTTAAACACACTAACTCTAAATATAATTTTGATTTTGGTCCAATTTTGAAGGTTTTCTTAGTCCGGAATAACAAGCCTTAGAACGCAATCTGGTCCACTCTATTCTTTCATTCGAGTCTCATGCTAAACTGGTTACTGTTCGCAACTGTAGTGGGATCAGCATGTGTCTCAAATTGTCTCACTTTTATTGAGGCTCCAGCGAAGTGTGCCAGCTCTTTAATGTGCTGCCCTTTCTTCCCGATGAGAGCTCCTACTGCTGGAGTGGGGATGAAAAGATAGACCACTTCCTGTTCAGCAGACTGAAACACACACACACAGACAGCCTTTACTCCTAGTAGTCAAGTCAAGTTTATTTATAGTAAAAGTAAATATATAGTAAACAGCACTGGCTTCACAAAATTGTTCAAAGAGAACACAACAATTTCAGTTATACAACTTCTATTTTAACCAAAAAGCAGATCTACAGAAGATAATGTACTAGTAGTATCATTTTTCAGTTCAATCCTACTATTTGTTTTGCTGAGATTTGTTGACAATATCACAGCATCTCTGAGCAGAGAAAAAGACAGAGATAACCAGATAACTAAATAATAGGATTATTTGGCAGGTTCTAAGACATTAGAATGCATATTTTAAAATGCATTGTAAAAAATGCATCAAATATATAATAAATACACGTATTTCACAAGGTTGGACAAAACTGATGAATCAACATACCCTTTATAATAATAACATGATACAAACTTTAAAGATGTGGAATTTAAAGGGTTAGTTCACCCAAAAATGAAAATTCTGTCAGTAATTACTCACCCTCATTTTGTTCCAACCCCGTAAGACTTTCGTTCATCTTCGGAACACAAATTAAAATATTTTTGATTAAATCTTAAATTAAAGCTGTCTCACTCCTCCATAGGCTTCTTAAGGGATCGAAACTGGCCGGCCCAAAAGTTATGAAAGACATCGTTAAAATAGTCCGAGTGACTACAGTGCCTCAATCTTAAGTTTATCAAGCGACGAGAATACTTTTTGTGCGCAAAAAAAAAATAAAAAAAATAACGACTTTATTCAAGTAATCATTTCCTTCTCTGTGGGCCGTGATATTTCACGTAGTGATATTGCGCAAAGCTTCTAGGTTGCACGTCACACACAGGCTCACTATTGGCCGACGCTGGTCATGTGTGTGATGCGTGACGTACAAGTACAACCTAGAAGCTTTGCGCAGTTCCACTACGTGAAATAGCACGGCTATACAGAGAAGGAAATGAATAGTTGAATAAAGTCGTTATTTTTGTTTGTTTTTTTGCGCACAAAAAGTATTCTCGTCGCTTGATAAACTTAAGATTGAGCCACTGTAGTCACTCGGACTATTTTAACGATGTCTTTCATAACTTTTGGGCCGGCCAGTTTCGATCCCTTAAGAAGCCTATGGAGGAGTGATCCAGCTCTCAGATTTCATCAAAAATATCTTAATTTGTGTTCCGAAGATGAACGAACGTCTTACGGGGTTGGAACAACATGAGGGTGAGTAATTACTTACAGAATTTTCATTTTTGGGTGAACTAACCCTTTAAATTGAATAAAGGATTTCAATGAATAGCAATTCAAAGAAATTCAACAGCCACAAAATAATTCCATTAAACCAGGTCAACAAACACATTTTTTGTTGGAGTCACTTTATTAGAATGTATAGTGAAAAGTGGACAAAAAGCTAAATGTGTGTGTGGGGGACTTTAAATGATAAAATTATGTTAAAATTATAATATAATAGTGCAAGTAGAAATTGACATTAACCAAGATTAATAAATGCTGTAAAAGTATTGTCCATGGTTAATTCAAGATACCTAATTATTTAACTAATCTTAACAAATTGAACCTTGTTGTAAAATGTTACTAAAAGTTTAAATTATGACCTTTTTTATTTTAAAGTTGATTAATAACTTTTAATTACGTAAATATAATGAAATATCTATAAATTAATAGCAGGTGGCATTTTAAAACTTTGATTATTAATATCATCTAATCTTTCTGGAAATAAGCTATATGCTCATGCATAATTCATGCAGAAAAAATAAAATATATATTTTTAAAAACTATATTTACAATAGGTGCATGAATTTCTTTCATTTTCAAATTCAAATGACATTTGTGCATCCGTTTGATACAACAACAAAAAAATCAGGAACTTAACTGGAATTCAAAAGACATTCTCATTCATTCTGAATGGTTCAAAACTTGCTTAAATCATGGCAGCTCAATGTGTCACAAACTAGTTATCTAGTGATAAAAAATACTTTATGTAGCATACATCTAATTGAAAGACTTCTTAGTGGGTTCAGATAGCCACAATATACAGCAGTGTGCAGAGTAAGAAAAAATTAGAGCTCTTTTGAGATACACATATAATAACAAGTACTCACCACTTGCTGAAGAGATAATGCTCCAGAGGAGGGAAGCCCATACATGCCCCCCATTACTGAAGAGGGTCCCTGTGATGGCAAACATACACCCATAGCATGTGGTGAGATGAATGTAACCCGAAATTAAAAAGAGAGAATACACACTAAGATGAAAGACAATTCACTGTCCCACACACCCTTTACACATGACACATTCTTATGTAAAGTCATTCGCAGTCAAGTGTCCTGATATAGCACATCCTGATACTCACCAGCAGGGGGCTGTAGTTGGCAGGGGTGGACAGAGATCCACGCAGACCAGAGGTTGGGGGGAGAACAGACAAGCCAGAGGAGAAGATCCCCAATGCACTCATGTTTAGACCTGGTATCATGTTAGTCTGCTGCTGAAACCAATATGGAGGGAGATGTGACTCTTAAGAGTATAGGTGATATCAAAGGTTGTATTTGTTAACATTAGTTCATGCACTGTGAACTAACATGAACAAACAATGAACAGCTGAATTTTTATTAACTAACACTGAGAACGATTAATAAATAACAAATGTATTGCACATTGTTACTTCATGTTAGTTAATACATTGACTAATGTTAACTAATGAACCTTATTGTAAAGTGTTACCACGTTAGCTAACTAGTCTATATAAAATAGGAGATTAAAATTTGCAGAGAAATATATATAGAAGTAAAATAATGCCAAATGTTTTTGAAACAAAAAAGCCTGTTGAATTGCACTTGGAAAAAAAATTGCATTGCATTAACCCTGCTTGTATTTCAATGCATTGTATGTTTAGGGCTTGCATTTTTATGGGCTGAACCTTCATATTTCACTTCCAAAATATTTAAACTGTTTAAAAATACAACCAATAATATTCAACAGGCATTTTTCGGTCCATTTTATTTCGCTTTGCAAATTCGACAGTAAATTACACATTGACATCCAGGAACTGCAGGAAAAGCAGTAGATTACCGAGCATAATCTCCATCTGCTGTTAGTCGACCTCACCTGCAGGAGGTGCAAAAGTGAGTGTTGTTGACGAAGACCAGAGCAACAGTTAGAGCAGCCCATTCATTCATAAAAACTCATTTACAGCAATGTAAGTGTATTTGTGATTATTATGACGGCTGTTTTATGTTAAATTCAGTGTCTTCACGGTTACTTTTAACTGTGTAGCCTACATGCATCTTTCTCTACCGTGAACGAGATTATAATATTATTCCCCTGATGCGGATGTACAGAACTTTATATTGTGGAGATGTGCTGCATGCAGTAGGCTATAGGGTTTCCCTCAATACTTCAAGATTCCCCTGATGGACATATAAAACGCTTAACGTAGCTTAATGGACTAATACAGTGATATAAAAGACCAAACTCGCAGGCAAGCAGATGGACTCAGAATATGAAATATTACTTAACGCGCAAAGTTTCCCAGTGATATACTGGCATAAATTTGGCTTGACATTGGACATTCGCACATTTAGGGACCGTCTCTTAAGTTACAAAGACATTGGTATACACGTTTCTAACTTCAATAGCATTTGAAAAGAACGACTTACAGTCATAAAACCAACTGTAAAGTGTTCATGTAGGTGTCAGACATAATGCGCACCTTTTAGATTTTTGATATTTATTCAAATAAATTGAAGTTTGCTATTAAAGCAACACCAAGTAACTTTTCCTCTGCGGTCGCCCTACAGGTTGGAAGCAGAATTGTCCTGTGCTTTGGAATCAACAATGGCAGACATCCCAACCTGCAAGAAGTCATTTCAGGGAGGTATATCTTGGTGACTGGATTGTTGACGGGGGGGGGGGGGGGGGGGGGGGGCACACTCGCAAGGTCTCTCGCTCTCTCCCTCTCTGCCGTGCTCGCGCTATGTATGTTATGCGCGCAGTATGTTCTGTCTCGCATGCGCGCAGATTCCGGGAGATTTGAACTAATTTGCGGGCATCAGGGAGACGCTATCAATATGCGGCAGACTCCCAGGCCACAGACAATTTGAGGAAGTGGTGCACTGGGGGAAGTGACGTATGCCGTAAAGCAGTCGAATTTTGTAGTTCTTTTTGTGTTCGGGTTACTACCCGAAACCCGAAGTTACATAGTGCAAGTAAAAGCGATACAGACCACGTCAGGCTATGGCAGACGTGTCATTCAACCTATTGTAAGTCGATGTACCATCACAAGGGTCTTGGAAATATATTATGAAGGTTGAAAAACTACATAGTGTTACTTTAAGTTAGAAACGTGTATACCAATGTTGTATGCAAATGTTGTATGCAAATGTTGTATTAGAGACGGTTCCTAAATGTGCAAATGTCAAGCCAATTTTACATTTACATTTAGTCATTTAGCAGATGCTTTTATCCAAAGCGACTTACAGTTAAACTAACAATAGGACAACAATATGCAAGTGCTACCCTTCCCAGTTTAATCTAATGCAGTACATGTAGGCATACTTTATATATATATATATATATATATATATATATATATATATATATATATATAGAAGAGAAGAGAAAGTGTCAGTATTAATTGATCAAGTGTTGATTTTATGCCAGTATATCACTGGGAAACGCTCAGCATGAAACTTTCCGCGTTAAGTTCATATTCTGAGTCCATCTGCTTGCCTGTAGCCTATATAGTACAGCCTACATCCCCAATAAGGTGCGAGTTTGGTCTTTTATAGCACTTTATTAGTCCATTAAGCTACGTTAAGCATTTTGTCTCGACGGAAGGGGAATCCTTGAGTATGAGAAGGTATTGAAGGAAACCGATTATAATCCCGTTCATGGTAGAGAAAGCTGATAACATGTAGGCTACACATGGAAAGTAACAAGGAAAGTTATTGAATTAAACATAAACACAGCTTTTGTGTCTTTATCATCTTTTCCGCATATATACTGACCCAGATAATCATCACAAAAACGTAATGCATGCTCAATGAATGGCTTGCTCTAACTGTTGCTCTGGTCTTCGTCAACAACACTCACTTTTGCACCCCCTGCTGGTGAGGTTGACTAACAGCAGATGGAGATTATACTCGGTAATCTACTGCTTTTCCGGCAGTTCCTGGATGTCGATGTTGAATTTACTGTCGAATTTGAACCACTGAATTTGTGGAAGCGAATTTGCAAAGCGAAATAAAATGGACCGAAAATTGCCTGTTGAATATTATAGGTTGTATTTTTAAACAGTTTGAATATTTTGGAAGTGAAATATGAAAGGCGAATATGGATTATTGAAATTTTAATAATGAAAATGTTTTTGAAATGTTTTGAATTGAAATATTCACAGCTTAAATATTAAACCATGTTGAATTTCAGCCCATAAAAATGCAAGCCCTAAAAATACAATGCATTAAAATGCAAGCATGGTTAATGCAATGCTTTTTTTTTTTTTCAAGTAGTGAAATTCAACAGGCTTTTTTGTTTCAAAAACATTTGACATTATTTTACTTCCATAAATATAGACTATTATTAAAAAAATGGTGCACCGCTTGTCTTGTTTTCTATTGCACAGGCAGAAGCTCTAAGATCAGTCATCTCTACAAGATACACTAATCAATCATTCAATAATTAATAATGATAATAAATAATTCAACTTAAATCAATATTTCATGTCCATGAATTTATTTATTTGGTAAGTGTTACTTGTTTAGAGCATTCCAATTTGAATGAATATAATTCTCCAAAATGATACGTCACGTTATATTTGTGTATGTTGGAAGATCTGTGTCCGTAAAACTGGATCCTGTTTCAACAATGTTATTTTATGTTTTTTTAAGAATATTTGATGACACAGAAAAAAACACAGGAAACTCTTTGGGTAGTTGTTTGACTGCATTCAATCCCAGGACAAGATTGGAAAAAGGTATTTTTCTACAATGTAGTTTTATAATTACACATTTTTCAAATCAAATACAGTTTTTTTTACTTTTGACCGAAACTCAACAGATTTCCATAGAGCGCAAACTTCCACATAACTGCACAGAGGTCAGTTTAGATTTGAAATAATCAAAACACGCTGAGTAGCAAACAGTGCAGTTTGGAGCACATGTCCATTCACATTCATACCTCTTTATATTTCATATCTAAATAGGGTGTCAATAGATTAAACAAATTATTTGACTAAATATATTGAAAAAATATATATATATTTCAGACTTGAGGTTTAATAATAATCATAATAATACATTTTTTTTTATAAAAGTCCCATCTGGATTTGATGTATGGTAGGTAAAGGTATTTTTCCATGATTTACTGATAAACAAGTATCTGGTTATGGGATTAGGGTGTTTAGGAAGAGATAACAAAAATAAATAGCATTAATAACAAATTATGCATAAAACTCTATTTTAAAAGTATCAAGTCACAATCCATGTTGTTTCAAAACGACTTGATATCTCCAGAAACAACTGATAGACATATCCCAAACTAACATCCATTCACCAATAAACTGTAACCTCTAAAGCTATGATTTACTTACATTAAGTGAAGCTACATCATTCTCATGGGCTTCTGAAAGTTTCTTCATGACCTCCATTTCTGCATTACAGCACTCCTCCACCCCTCCCCTCACCGTGATGGTACGTTCCTGGTTATATATCGTCAGGTCTTGTAATCTGCACAAATTTAAGGAAATAAGCACTGTCACATGAGATGAACATTCAATACATTCATAATTAAACCTCAATCTCTTAACTAGGTTCCTATGAGACAAGAGGTGTGAATCTTTCGGTAGACAGCGAATCGATTGGTTCCACGATTCATAGGTTTTCCAATCAATTCCAGAACAATTTATGCCAATTCAGAAGGATTCAATTCAGTTCCCAATGAGATTCGATTTAGATTAATGATTTAATTCTTTATTATTTGTAATTCTAAGTGAATTCATAGAGTTATTTAAATGATAACCCTAACGTGTCTTAAGCAGGATGCGAATTACACAGTGACCTGCAGGGCGGTCAGATATTCTTCTTAATGATTAATGAGTTCTTAATGATGCTGCATCAGTTTATTTTTATATTAAAATAAATTGGTATGTACAAAATTCATATAAGCCACAATTTAAAAGTGCTTTAAAAGTATTGAGCAATGTTAATGTATAGGTTATGCAACCTTAATGCTCCAGATGTTCTGATCTATTATTCTCTCTTAAAGGGATAGTTCACCCAAAAATTAAAATTAGCTCATGATTTACTCACCCTGAAGCCATCCTAGGTGTATATGACATTCTTCTTTCAGACGAATACAATCGGAGTTAAAAAAAAAATGTCCTGGCTCTTCCAAGGTTTATAATGGGAGTGAATGGCTGGAAGATATTTGAAGCCCAAAAAAGTGCATCCATCCATTATAAAAGTAATCCATATGGCTCCAGGGGTTTAATAAAGGCCTTCTGAAGTGAAGCCATGCGTTTGTGTAAGGAAAATACCCATATTTAAAACTATAATCACCAGCTTCCTACAGACGGGAGTACGCATCGATATACGGAGGAAGACTATCCCCTGAACCGACGCACAACGTAATGACTAACGCGGAAGCTCAGAGGAAAGAGCAAAACAAAACACCGGTCGCGAATTAGAAATTTTGAAGAGAAATGTCGGAGGATTTCTATATAATAGAAGAGGAGCTTCTATTTGTTGCACAGTCCTATTTGTTTAAACCGCGAGAGGCGTCTAAGCTTACGATACTCCTACATCCTACGTCATACATGCATCAAGGGTTACTCTAGTGGCGCAAGTCAACTTGTGTAGTATGCGTACGGTCGTCTGGCGGAAGCTATAAATATGGTTATTTTTCTTACAAAAACCCATTGCTTCACTTCAGAAGGCCTTTACTAACCCCCCGAAGCCGTGTGGAGTATTTTTTATCATGGATGGATGCACTTTTTTGGGCTTCAAATATTTTCCAGCCATTCACTCCCATTATAAAGCTTGGAAGAGCCAGGACATTTTTTATATAACTCATATTGTATTTGTCTGAAAGAAGAATGTCATATACACCTAGAATGACTTGAGGGTGAGTAAATCATGGGCTAATTTTAATTTTTGGGTGAACTAACAATCCTAACTAACTCACGCCGTAGCTATGTCGTGGCTGTGTGTAGCACATGTACCATATGGCGTACCCTGACGTGCACCTCTCCAAAAAAGTAAAAACACGTCAATTCTACAGTACGCTGATATATACAGTACATACAGGGCTAGATATTAAACTGTTTTAAAATCATAACTGTTTGCTATCTAACAAAACATTCATCGCAAAATGGCAGTGGCTGCATCTGAATTAAACAAAAGAGATACCCACGATACCCAAATGACAATTAAATAACAGTAGGCCTACACAAAATACTGATTTGAGTTTAAATATTTTATTAGCTAACCAAACGCAAAACTTCCATAAAGAAAATCTGTTCCTAGCTAGCGTATAGCGCTGACTTCAGTTGCCCGGATGAGCCGGTGTTATTAGTTTTTACCGGTGGTTATCGGGGAATAACATAATTGACCAATCAGATTCCAGTTTTCCACAGAGAAGTATAATAAGACTTAACTCTTTCCCTGCTATTGATGGAAATTCCCGTCATTTATGAGACAACGTTTCCCCGCCATTGGCGAAAATTTACGGCTTTCCGTGTTTTCACTGTTATACAGTAGAGGATGCTATGACACATCTGAAAAAGTATTTAATCTCCTGATCAAAAGACATGTGAAGAGGAAGCAGAAACAAGCAACAGCATATGTAAGCAGATGCAAAATAACGCGATCATCGACATTAAACAGCATATAAAATCAAAACTGCCTAATGTTACTGAATCAAAATGTCGACCCAGGAAGTGGTATAGGACTGTGCAAGCTTTGGAAGTGTTGATGGACTCGATCTGGGTTTTGATCATCGTTCTGAATCCGATCTGGATGTAGTCTTTGACAAAAACACGTTTTTATCTGCTTTTTGCTCAAAATGTTTTTTGTTTTTTTTTATGAAACTTACCCACATTCAAGTGTTGATTAAAAAAGATTGCACTAAGCTAGAACAAAACGTTTTTTTGTTGTTGTTGTTGTTGTTTAAAAGCAGATGGTCAGTTCTTTCTTTTGATATATTACATGTTCAGATATTCATATAACAAAATATTCTGTGAGCCATGAATGATCAAAAATGCTAGCGGTGGCTGGCAACTTAAAAAAAAAATGCTGGCGGTGAAAGACAGTGTTTCCGCTATATTCATTCTGCCGTGGTGGGCCGCCACACCAAAAATCATCCCGCCACAGCTGCAGCTTCTCAGTGAGGTCCGATATTGTGCATACTATTGTGTTATTGTTAAGCCCCACTAAAGGCATAAAAACATTGTAAAGCACCATAAAGTTTTCGTGCACTATATTCCAATACTTCTAAAGTCATTCGATAGCATAATATGAGCTAAAAATGAATATTTAAGTCATTAAGTTAAAGTGAATGGAAACTCATCTCTCCTCAGTCATTCTCCATTCAGCATTCAAACAGCGCGTCGCGTTCGGTTACGACAGTGACACTCTCTTCAAGATCAATGTTCCCATTATTATACTTTATTTGTAGATAAAGGTCTATGGTTTGCATAAAATGACTTTATCTTGCTGGAGTTTATTGCGCTTTCTAAATAATATTCCTTTCTCCCGGGCGTCTGTTATATTGCAGCCTGTTTAAACACCTGGCACAAGGGGGCGTGGCCCATGGGAATATCATTTAATGGGCGACGCCCCCTCCCCCTGGGGAAATGGGCCTGCCACCACAGCTGGAAAAAATCCTAGAGGAAACACTGGAAAGAGTTAAATGCCTTCTGCTTGCCTAAATAAACAATGATACCAGTAAAATTGGGGTATTTTATCTTATAGAAAATAACAGTGAATTTCCATGCATTAATACAATTTATAAATATTTTTATAATTTAATGTTTATATATTAAATCGCTAACGAATTGTAATTCATTCGATTCTTAGCATTTTAAATCGATTAATGAATTAAATGATTCCCGATTTTAAAAAATCCATGTTTCAAGATCAATGCATATGCTTCAGTAGGATTTGTAATTATAAATTAAATATTAAATTATATTATAAATTAAATATAATTAAATATGCATCGAGAAAATTAGTGAATCATTACACCCCTATAAAAGACATTGTTCGCGGTTTTAATGGATGTAGAACCAGTGGCGGATTTAGCAAATTGGGGGCCCAAAGCGAAGGTACGTATGGGGGCCCCCCATCCCATCTTTATGACAACGGGAAAAAAAAATTACCGACTGAATGGTAGGAAAAGCTAATCTACGGGGAAGTAAAGGTTGGAGAGGAGAAAAAAAAACCCTTCCCCAACAGAGAATAAGGTTTCAGATAACACCTGGCTTTGCCAAAATGCCAGGAAACCCAGCACTGTTTATTCTTTTTTTTTAAGATCAAATCAATATCAATATAACCAGCAAGACACATAGTTAGGGTAAACCCCCACAAACAGCCATATTAGCAAATATTGCCAAGATGAATAATTGACTTTGTATGAGGTTGCAATTGGCATTGCACATGAGATTGACATTTAAAACATTCTACAAACAAACATTTTTATAGGTTTATATATTTTATAATGTAATAATTTCACAGTTAATCTACAAATGAATGTAGAGACAACATAAAGACAGTATATTTTAAATACTTGTTTAATGGCATCTTTTTATGAATGAAGGTCAGTATCACTGATACTAATACAGCTATTGATGTCTGGGTAAAAATGATTTTTTCCCCCTAATTTTAAACATTAATTATAGCCAGCCATCCAACATTACAGTGTAATTGAAAGCCAAAAAATTTACATTTTGTTAGGCTTCAAAAAATATATAACTTTTAATTTACGTGAACTTAAAACAATCATCAGATAAACCCATAATAAATGTCATATTTACTTTTGCCCTTTCAGTATAACAGTAACGTTATAACTTACACGTTATCCTCAACTAGCGTCACTTCACAGCTGCTGCTGTAGCGGCATGTGTCCCCAACAGTAGGCGTAAAAAAGTTTGTCATTTTTGGCAGCGTTGCCAAATACATATCGGCGTCTTTTGTCTTTTTTTCTTTTATTTGAGCCGCTTGGGTAACTTCGTTTCATTTTCGCGTTTAGACTCGTCTTGCTTCGTTGTGTACTTCCCAGTCCTCCAGTCATGTTTATCTCTCGCGGTTTCGCGCCGCGCGCCGTTCGGACTAGTCCATTTTATTGCGAAAGTAGGGGGTGTTATGTGTAGGGACAGATAACCATGAACTGGACATTTAAACTACTACTTTAACATTTCAACGTATTTCTTAAGAATATTAATAACATTTACTATGCCTTTGAAGCGTTCATGATGATAAGGGGCTTTTTCTTTTCTTTTATATATATATTTTTTGAGGTTGGTTGGGGGGCCCCCCTACTACGACCGCTGGTAGGGGGCCCCAAGCAGCCGCCTACCTATGCCTCTATGTTAAGACCGCCACTGTGTAGAACACACTTACGCAGAAATGGTGATCTTGGTCCCTGTATCTTGCTCTATCTTCTTCAGGTTCCTGCCCTCCTTCCCTATGAGTCTCCCAACAAGGCTATTGTGGGCCAAGATCTTCAGAGGAACCTCCTCAACACTGTCACAGAGAGAAAGTACACAATATTGTTTGTTTGTTTATTCATGTATTTATTTATTTATATTTTGAACTGGTGCAGTTTGTACTTACACCATAAGCTTATTTACATATAAACATGGTTTTAAATTATTTGTCTTTAAAAAAAAAAATCCTAAAGCGAATGAAGCATGTAAAACTTAAATATGCCCTACAGTCAGATGAAATACTGACATCTTGGTGTCATTAGCCTCTTTTTCCATGATTTCCAGGATCATCCTGCAGGCTTGTGAACAGCCCTCTTTAGATGAGTGGATAGTGATGGCCTTCTCAGTCGCCCCAGCATTCTCTTTACGATGGATATCTACCCTGAGACAGAGAGAGAATTTATCACATTTTTGAACTACATTGTCACATGCTAATGAAGATGGTTTGAGCAAAACAGAGAACAGTTTATAATCTCAGAAATAAGAATGACTGTGCACTGTTCACATTTATTTTATTTTATTATTTATATAGCGCTTTTTACAATACAGATTGTTTCAAAGCAGCTTTACAGAGATAACAGGAAAATAATGCAACAAGTTTGTTTCCAGAAGAAAATAGCGTCACAGTCCAGCTTAAGTACAGTGATGTTTCATTTTGTTGTAAAAAGTTATTCCTTTAGTTAATTTATATATATAGCCGCTCTGGAGAAAACCGTGATGTCATCGTCCAGCTCAGTTCAGTTATCATACAATGGTGTCAATGCAGGCAGATCAATATTATTGTTGAATATTAAATTAAATGTTAAATTTAATGTCCCCAACTAAGCAAGCCAAAAGTTAATGGCAACAAAGGTGAAAAAAGGCGAAAAGGCGACAGTGGCAAGGAACCAAAACATCAGGTGGCAGAATGGATGTAAAATTATCTCGTAATTCTGAGATAATTAACTCGTTAATTCAGAAAAACAGAGCAAAACCTTTTTTTCCATGAAAAATTTTCTCGTAATTCTGAGATAATTAACTCGTTAATTCAGAAAAACAGAGTAGATTTTTTTCCTCAAGTGAATGCAATATGCTTCCGTAGAATATGCCATTACGTAGCAGCAAACCGGATAGAGCACCGACTCATTAGCGTGACTCTCACTAGCTGGCCTCCGTTACACACGCAATCCAAGAGTGGATGTTTGTTTATCATAGCAGAAGCGCAACAAAATAATGCTTCACGAAAAATAAAGCGCAGATGATGAACGAAGCGCCAAAAATGAACATACAGTACACAGTAATAATTTCAAACAAGAGTTGGTTGTTAGTGGCCATTCAACAGCACAGCATCTCGAGACACACAATGACACTCAAACTCAGTGTTAGTCATGTGTGGAGCCAAATCAAAGCAACCTTCTGTTTTCAGGCCTTCTTGCTTAGCTCTCTACAGCGCTGGAAAGCTTTTCTAATATTAACACGGGTCCTAAAGCTCTTGCCCAGTCATAACCCTTAATTTTCCAGTGATTCCTTCTGAGCTTTTCTCTTTTGTATTGTGTCTCATCTCTATTTCCTGCAGTCTCTCTTCAAATCTTCCTCTTGCTCGTTCTCTCTAATGCTCATCGGCTACACATGTATGTTGTTGTTTGGTCGTGTGTCGGTCCGACTAACATTGATGATATATTGGTTTAACCACTATTACAAAATCCAAATTCTACGTTTTTAAATGTATCAAGTAGGTGATTTTTAATTAACTATCTGCAGTTAGAAGGATTAAAATGCAAAAAGTAAAACCAATTATTTTTTCAGCCATAGCAAGGTGTTGATTATCGGCACAGAAATGTCATATCAGTGTATTCGTATTAGTGACATTAAACTATAATAGCTATTACATCTTTAAATTATAATATTTAACACATTACTAATTAGACATGTACTGATTGAAAAAATATCAAGACTTCTTACTTGGACTGTGTCTGCTTTGTGATGTTCTTTATGGTGAGTCCCTCTTTTCCAATGATGGCTCCCACAAACTGAGTGGGTACTAGGATTCTTAGTGGCAGTTCTTGCTGACGCTGCCTCGGCCCCTGGGGGCCTCCCATCGCCCCTGGCTGACCAAACTCCTGCTCCCGACTTCCTGTCCCCATTTTAGATGCCCCTCGCGGGACCTGGGGTCTTCCACCCCCGTCCCTTCCTGCCTCCTCGTCCAGTATGTACGACACACTGAAGGAGTGATTCTCAAAACGGTGGCCTGTCAACTTCTCAACAGCCCTGGAGATAAAGGAGAGATCAAGAGAGAGTAAATAACAGACACAACAAGGATCATAAAGCATTGGTTACACTGGCTAGGGGTGTGAGATATCACGATTTTAGATTGTGAATGATTAAAATGTCTCCACAATCTGCCTTTGAAGAAAGATCATAGTATCATGCTACAGTGCACATTCTAACAATTGCAGTTCTGGTACCACCGTCCCAACATACTGTACAACATTCCCATCACATGTTTAGCAATGCAGGGGTAGAGTTACGCTCATGTGGCATTGCAGTTCTTCGCCATCACGGCATCAGTTTACATGCGTTTTAAAGCATTGCCAGTTAAACTTTCTATTCGCACGCTGTTCTGACATAAGTTTTTCTAAAGCGTATACCCGAAGAGTGTGCACACTAAAAGCCTGTCACACAGCGAGTGAGTACTGAACTAAGTTCTCTTTCGTGTCTTATTGCGCTAACACGGTCAAACATATACACAAGGTTTACATAAACAGTCGATTGTACTGTATCTTAAAGCTGCTGTAGGTAACTTTTGTAAAACATTATTTTTTACATATTTGTTAAAACTGTCATTATGTCCTGACAGTAGAATATGAGACAGATAATCTGTGAAAAAATCAAGCTCCTCTGGCTCCTCCCAGTAGTCCTATTGCCATTTGCAAAAATACACCGCTCCCGGTCAGAAACAACCAATCAGAGCCAGGAGGAATGTCTTAGCAGTGTCAATCACGCTCGTGTACGCGCTGATCACACCCCTCTCTTGCACAGCGCGTACCGTCGTTCAAACTCAAGATTGCCGGTGTGCCACAGCTGTGATAATGGCGGAGAAACAACCTAAACTGCCAATTTCTCGAGTGGCACCTGCTCATAAAACAAAGACGGGTAAAAGGAAAAAGACCGATGACGATAAACAAGCGAAAAAGAAAGAATTAGACAGAGCCCATTAACTCTAGCCGCGTAACATGTAGATAAAATGTCACGCACTGTGCAAAGCAACAATTGAAACCTGCTAATTCACTGGCTTGTCATGTTGCTGAAATAATGTTGTGGCGAGCAGGACGAGGCCGAGGGATGTGAGAGCGGCGCGAGGCCGGCGGCGTGAGTGATAATGAACGACACCTGTGAGACGCACCGGTCTCGCATCTTTCACGGAGGAGCGGAAGCATAAAGGAGGAGCGACAACAGTGAAGATCGAGAGAGGAACAGGCCTGATTTTACGTTGTGATTTTATGTTCTGTTTTGTGTGCCAGCAGTCGTCCATGAGGGGCTGCTGGCTTGGGGCGGCAGTGGCTCAGTGGTTCATGTAGGTTGTCTGCGAACCGAAAGGTTGGTGGTTCAATCCCCGGTTCCACCTGACCAAGTGTCGAGGTGTCCATGAGCAAGACACCTAACCCCGGCTGCTCCCGACGAGCTGGATGGCGCCTTGTATGGCAGACACCGCCGTCGGTGTATGAATGAGTGTGTGAATGGGTGAATGTGAGGCAAATGTAAAGCGCTTTGGTGGCCATTGGGTCTGTGAAAGCGCTATATAAATGCAGTCCATTTACTATTTACCATTTATACTTTCATTTTGTATTTGTTTATTTATTATTAAACTTGTTGAACGTTTGCCGGTTCCCGCCTCCTTCTTCCCATAACAACTGAACCCCGTTACAAATGTACTGGCAAACCTTATCTAGCATTAGGCCTACATATCGCTAGAATAATTACTTGAATTATATTATATATGTTACGTTAGTTACCGTTATATTATCTTACTAACTATTTATAACTTATAGAAAGGGTGCAACGTTATAAATTTACATTACATGTATTGCAAAATACGTAATAATTTGAGGACCAAGTTTGTAGTCAAAGTATGGGCAGGCCTTAGTCAATGTAAAGCATATTGTTGATGTTTCGTCCCTACTAGTGAATGTGCTATAACTGGTTATCCGCCGTCATCGGTGGCCCTACTTACTAGCCTGCGCGTTCACGACAGGCTCCGCTGTGGAGGGAGGGCTGTAGCGCAGCAGAGAGCATGGAGGTGGGACCTGTAAGTTGTGCTTGTTCAAATTTTCAGGCTAAGTCAACGTTTTCTCAAAACTCCCTACTGCAGCTTTAAAGGCACACTATGCAAGAATTGTACCTTAATATAACAGCTTCAAAGTCATATCGGTGGTAAACAAACTCATAGTAGGGCGAATCATCCTGGTTGTAAAGCTTGGGGAAGACGCCACTGGAAAAACCAGCAATGCAAGTTTGAGAGGAGCGCCCCCGACAAATCTCGCGAGAATCACGACATGCTTTACGGCAACGACGTCACACACATCAACAACATATGAAGCACGAAGACACTTGCGCGGATTTCAGACGTGATACTCGACGATGGAAAAAGCAAAGAAAACGCGGTCGGAAGAGACTAGGAAAAGGAAAAGAGAATCTGACCACGTGAGTAACCAGACAAGAGTCTCACTCGGTCGGGCTTTCACTAGTTGGCGCGAGCTAAAAAGCAGCACTGGATGCAACAGTGATGCTGACCTGGCGATCTTGTTGATGGACTAGTAAGTAAATCTTTCTAAGTTTGTGTGCATTTTATTTAGTGATTTCACCGGAATGAATAGAGAGTCTCCGCAACGGCGATAGATTGAAGAGCGTGTCCGAGTGAAGACTGTGCGTGCACCGCCACAAGAGACATTATGTTTCCATGACACTGATAGCAGCGGACACGAGCGCTCAGGTTGAGTTCAAACAACTTATTTAAAGGCACACTATGCAATATTTGTACCTTAATATAACAGCTTCGAAGGGGTATCAGGCCGTGAGTGCAGAGACGCTCTGCGTGAGTGGTATTTACGACAGTAACGTTAAATACAAGTACTCCACAGTGACTCTAGGGGTCGCTGTTTGACAAAAACGGAATTCCTGCATAGTGTGCCTTTAAGTGAATGTTAACCATGTTAATCAAACAACAAAGAGAAAATCACTCACTGATCTTGACTGAAAAACTTCAGTAGCTTTAAGAATCAGTGAATATTTAATTCATACAGTGAAGTGTAGTGTTTTATTTGTTTATTCATTTTCTTACTTGAATGCTACTGTTACAGTAAATACATTTGGATCTTATATCGTATTTGTCCTATTGTTTGTAATTTGTATCTTCTTATTGTTAATACCAAAGATCAAATAAGAAGAATTTGATCAAATCGCCCTCCCCTACTTTGGCCTTAAATGGTCTGTCATTCTTTTTTTTTCTTTTGTTACCAATATGGCAAAAAATTTAAAATGGTGAAATAAGTTTGGCTGTACTGCTCAGTGACTTGCAAAAAATACTTAAAAACCAACATGAAAAAGAATCATGATAAGATCATGGAATGTGATCCTGTCTGAAAAAGGCATTGTTATATGATATTTTTTCCATATCGCCCACCCCTAAAACTGGCTATAAGACTTTTGTTAATGTAATGAATGGATTAAGAAAACAAGAGTAAGGCCATAAAAAGATGAATTCCAAATTGTACACATCATTATAAAAAAGAAAAATTGTAGATTTCTCACATTTCACATAACCTCTTGCTGTGAAAGCCATCTCACTACCAGGGTTGGGGAAAATGCTGAAATTTAAAACTCACATTCATTCATGAGGAATTTGAATTGAATTGGCCACACCCTGCAGACTGCCTTGGAATTTGAATTGAAATGACAGGAAGAGGCATTTCAGTTCAAATAACGTCAATACAGTCACACAGCAGAAGAATTTCATTAGTCCGACAAGTTTTGCCTGAGTCAATTACTGAGCGCCAGTCTGTCTCCCTATGACAGGAAATAGTAAATCAGACAACCCGCAACACACACATACCCACCCATTGAGACAGACCTCCCTGAGATCAAAGCTCCAAAATAGGGCTGGGCTATACGGGCAAAAATATTAGCATGATATTTTTTTTTCATATCATACGATATCGATATTAATCACGAGGAATTTCGATATCGTATGATAACATCATCAGATAACATCATCAGATCATCATTTACCTACCATTATTAATGGGGGAAGGAAATGCTTTCCACATATTTGATAGACCTTGAGAATGAATGCAAACATGTAAACTTGTTTGTTCACAACTACACTCCACAGAGTAGCTACCTTTTAATTTAGGGCCCCATTTCCCTAAATTCTATGTTTTCCATTTGATTTTTTGGGGATTGTGTGTTTTATGATTTAATAAAAATGTATATAAACTTTAACAATATAATTTAGCTTTTACAATGGAATCAAATTTACAATTTACAACAAAACGTATTTTTATTTTTTGTCAAATAAGATGCTGCACAACAAAACTGTATACATTTAAAAAGGATAAAAAAAATATCTTGCTTGTGTGACATTTCTCAGAAATAATAATATTATTATTAATTTGAGAAGTAAATTTTAGTGTAGGCTACAGTAGTGATACATATTCTGTCAATTTCTTAAAGTTAAAACTGACTTTTATTTTGACGGTTTATCGTGAAGATCTTTCCGTTTCATTGTATTTGACGGTAGTTTTTTCTCAAATGAAACAGTGAAAAGCTTGTGAAGTCACTCTCAAAGTAGCTCTGGAGATAAAGTTCACGTCCTCATATATTGAGACGGCAGACGCTGAAAACACTGTGAGCGCCACATACGTGTGAGTTTGTGTATCAAACTCGTTGTGTATTAGCAACATACACTGACTGGTTGTTGTCATGTTTATTTCTGCTGTGTGATAGGCTGTTAGATGAATCCATATTGAGTAAAAATGTCCAGTGCTTATCATTGTTATTGATGTAAATTTGACCACAATCTCGATATAATTTATCGCCCAGTCTTACTCCAAAATAAGATCCCCGGAGACCAGAAATCATCCAAACCCCAAAACACTTCTTCCACCACACACATACATGAGATACATAAAACAATGCACAACAGACCGTCAAACCCATCTTTTACAACTGCCACCTAAACTCTGATGATGTTTGACTGATTAATTGTGACT